AACTTTTGCCTTGGAGGTATGGTCAAATTCGTAACCAAATTGAAGTTGAAAATCAAAAACAATTTTGTTGTTTTCTTTTTTAATATGTTCGGCCGCACACGTTCGGGTGGCGTTCGGTGGCCACGGGAAAATTTCCCACGAGGCGATCAACGAAAAATTGTTTGGCCGAAAAAAAAAAAAAGAATGATTTTTAACTCGGCCTTGGGAAATTTTCTATTGAAAAACAATTTTTGTTCCGTGATCACTTAGTAAACAAGAAGAAAATGAACCTTCCGCTAGAACATAGAAAGATACATTGGAGAGGGGAAGGCGAATGCTATGCCCAAGGCGAGCACATCGAGCAATACATAGGGAGAAATTGCGAGCATGATTAAGATGACTGACTCGGAAACAAGCTGCACTTGCTCGAATATTCAACCAAGTTCACGCATTACTTCCAGAATACACCTAGTTTGTAATGATGCGAAAATTAACATAAATTTCGGTTGAATGCAGATAAATACTACGCCTCTCTTGTTGTAATTTTCTTCTTTGCGACTCTCATTTTTTGTACCTTCTTTCGTTACGCCTGCTCCCACTGGTTGTCAGTCGGGTATTTATTAACGAACAGAGCGACATTATCGACACTAACTGGTCTCACGTAGTAAATCAGAGTCGCAACATTTCACTCGCCTGTCCTTAGTGGAAATTGAACTAAGGTTTGTATTCCAATCAGTTTAAGGTTGTACCACCTGAGCTAGGCTAGTTGGTAGTAACCCCGGTTTCCTAACTAGTACTCATTAATTCCCAAAAAAAACGAAACTTTAATTTAATAAAGTAAAATAAAATAAAGAAAAATAATGAAATAAAAACAGAAAGAGAAGCAAATCGGCTGTGGAAGAGAGGGAACTTGACACAGGCAACTCCTTGGTCCTACCGATCGGGCCCGTCGCCAGAACCGACATCAAAACCAAAGGAGATAGTCCCGTCGGACCATCAACCCGACCCCTTGATTTCCTTCAAGCTATTTCATATCTGCTCCGTCGCCAATCGTTGGCCTCGATCCCTATATCTCCAAGGTGAAAGTTTGACAGTGCAACCAATAGTGCTAAGCCCAAGGTTGAGATTAACACTCAGCCAATCTCTTATAAACGGGTGTTTTAATGCATGGATCTGCCAACTACCCGAAGACCACTCCTCTTTCTATCGGTCTAGCTTACGACCGCAACCCCGACGCTCGTCACACGAAGGGCCCTAGTGCCATTCATATTCGCCGTATGCACTATTCATCATGCTAGGGTCTCGCTTTCACCAACTAAGTCGTGAGAGCTCAGACTTTATCTAGGCTGACCCCGTTTTCAAATGTCTTTGCCGAGGCTGCAGAAAAATTATCATCAATGGGTAGATACAAATGAGTTTCCTATTGCACTACGCACTGTGCGAGTTCCGCTGTTGAGTTAAAATAAAACTGAAAGTAATTACTTTTAGAATCGCAGCACCGACAGTCTACCATGCCACCTGCCATAACAAATGTCACCTCTAAGCACGCGCACACATCATGATTAAATGTGTCGATCAAACGAAAAAATCATTTAGTCCTAATATGACAGAAAACAAAAGTTGACTGGCAACCGTGACGGGTTTACAATCATGAACAAGAAAGAGAGATCACACACGCTTTCAAAACTGCGCGCTCTTACACATCCTATCCTCTTTCATCTGAGCACACAGGTGACCAAAAAATCGCAAAAACGAAAAGTCGGTCATGCCTCGCTCGGCGCACCCAACTTTCGAGTCAAACCTCGTTTCCTGACACTTGCAAAGACCAGGGCGGATACCCTTCTAAGGGTATTCGTATCTACAGTCATGACCTAATCAAGAAAAGAAAATAGCAACCATGGAGGAGAGGGGGGATAATAAATAAATAAAAAGTGAAATTTGCGGATAAAAACTAGGCTACCAGCCAGGCCGCCCGGGTCTTGGGTGGCCAGCCCGTGCAAGGACCAGGGAAGGTCCCTGCAAAAAAAAAAAAAAACAAATCCAAAAAATCCGAAAAAAAACTATGTTTATGCAAAAAAATAAACTAAACAACTTTTGCCTCAGGGTCACATCGAAGTTTTTCACTAAATTTAGGATTTAAAATATATATATATATATATATATATATATATATATTTATATATATATATATATATCGTCAAATAGAACTGCCTGGTATATATATATATATATATCGTCACAGACATATATATATGACGATATATATATATATATATACAGGGTAACCGGCGTTAGGGACGGGCTGAACGCCCGAACCCGAACGCCCGAACGCCCGAACCCGAACGCCCGAACGCCCGAACCCGAACGCCCGATCGTATGGGACCCCTTGGGGATGCGTTCGGCTGTTCCGGCCGAACG